CTATTGGCTGAAAGAGGCTAGATTGCACAGGTAGTTTTCTGCAAAACCAATGTTATGACGTTTTCAAAGATAGTCATCGTAAGACAATCTATGAAAACAATTTGGCAGTCCTAAATACCCCAAACTAAAGCAGGAAACGTTTTGGGGAGTTTCCAACACATCATTTTTATTGGTTGATGCTGTTTCTCTTTATTTTCATAAACTCTGATTGAAATTTATGCAAACATACTCACACCATAAGAATAAGAATCATGTTTTAAAAGAGCAATCATTTTCGTATTTCATTCGCAACCCTTTGTAATGTTCGAAGTTTGAACACTAAAGTATCTATCTAGATCATTGTGGATTAGGATCATGTATATAATTGTATGAGAATAAATATGAAATTATCAATAGATCGACAGAATTGTCTAATCACAACTGAATTATAGTAGTGATTCACATCAAAGATATTGATAGAATTATTATAAAGATAAAAGCTTTGTAGAAGAAAATGAGTGTAGATAGGTTCATATCTTGTTAATTTGCAGCATCACTGCAAGATGAATCAGGCGAGTTTGTGCGTCATTTTCAAGATGACAACAAAGAGATTCGATGTTAGTTTATTGAGTACATATTTTGTCTCAGATAATGCACCGTTGTCTATCTTTGAAAATAAGTTTAGAAATTGTTCTTCCCGGAATTTTCACTACAGCAACCATAGGCAGAAGTAGAAAGTGGTTTGGCTATCTAAGTTGATCTAATTTTGTCTGTCGGTTTCAGAAACTTGACAGTTACTTGTTTGGTTAAAGTTACTAAAAGTATTCATGCCTTTCATATGAATGTTTGTCACAATCAAGAGATTTTATAGTCGATCGATTTATACTTACCTTATTAATGAATATTTAGTGATGATTTTTATTAATTCTGTCAAATATTACTTTCAGGTGATCATATGCTCACCTCTCTTTCTGTGGCACGGGACTGTGAAATGATTGATGAATTAGATCGAGTTGTTATTGTTACAGCTCACCCACCACCTCATCCTAGTAATTATTTTACTTCAGACATGTTAAATGAAAATCAGCCAATATCGATGGCAGATACTGGATTTTCCACTGAAACAAATCCAAACCACATTTCAGATACTACCGATGAAAGAAATGATAAAAATTTCTCAGATGATCTAATCAATTCCCTTGTTCAATTTCACTATGCAGAAGACCTAAACAGACCAGTTACTGAAGTCGCTACGACTAAGATTCAACTAAAGCGAAATCAAACTAAAACTGACAACGTAGAAACATCGAAAACGTCACTTTTCAAGCGAATAAAAACAAAATTTAATTTTAGTGGGTCACAAAGTTCCTCAAAGGTTTTAGCTGGGTATGTGAATGGTTTAAATTTATTTTGACCACTAAAATTTGTATGTTTCATAAGTGTTGAGTTGCGTAATTTACAATTAGTAGTGTTAGTACTCCAAGTATAGTTAGTTTACTTCCTTAGATACATAGTTTTATGCCTTTCTCAAATAAAGACTTGATCTGACAAATGTTTCTAGTGAAACATTATCCCATTGATTTGATCAGCTGAACTTAATACAAAATGAAGTAATTCATTTAAGATAACGTTCGTTACTGACACATAATATAGAACTAGATTTCCATTTTATCTATTATCCACCCACATGCAATATTGATTTTTGATGTTTCACCTCAACTATACTGATCCACTACTCCTCAGGAGTCCCGTACTTGGTTGAGACGACGATCCAGTCTTTTCTGTTTTCCAATAGTTGCCTAATTGTAGTATTTGTCTGATTTGGAACTCACAATTTTAGGAAGAAACGATAACTGCGAATTGTTAGAAGGTTTTAACGATTTCCCACAGTGTAGTCCCATATGTTACGACATATGTTTCTGTTCGAAGCAAGTTGTTTTCAGCTTCCAGAAAATTTGAAATATCTTTCTATTATGGCCATAACAAAAGGTATTTAATAAAGGATTCATCAACTAAAAAGTTATTGATTATTAGCTTTAATTATTTAGCATAATAACAAAAATAAATTTATAAAACTGAATAGAATTCCAAAGTTTGAAAAACGAAGTTAACTGTTGACAGAGTATAACTGCAACTGTCAACAAACAATACACTGTTTTTATATACAATGAAATTTTAAACGAAAACCACTAATAAAATTGTTGAGATTACAGTTGACTATGATTTTCTTTATTGACCACTCGTTTCGTCACAATCTAAATTTAACTGACTGATGTCGGTCATTTCATTGGTGCTTTCGAAACAATGTTCAAATTAAACTTATCACATAATTACTTCTAGATAACCATATTTAGTTTATGAATCATTCATCCAGATTGAATAGCTTATCTTTTAACTAGTTAGATCAGATTCAGAAATACTGCAAGCATTAATTTTATTGTTGATCTAAGACAATGTAATATGAATAGGAAGAAAACTTGTCATGAACTCAGAAGCTACTAACTAATTGATGACTTCATATTGATAGAATGTGTTAAACGAACAGTGTTAAAGTTGAAGAAACTGGATTTTCTCAAAACATCAGTTGAATTTCCACACTATGTATTAACATTTAGAGTGAGTTAAATAGTGAAAAATAATCGTCAACTCACCAGAATGAAATACAAGCATAAACATCGTATTGAGTGTTACTCTGTTCATAATTTACATGATGAAAAATGGAAAATATGTTCAGTTCGTTGTCTTCAAACTACTACGACTATGTCAACAGTCTCTCGAATGGTAGAAATTGCTACACTTAATCATACACTTCTGATAAACATTTAATGACCTGATGTTCTGATGGCGACCTGTAGCATATTCATCTTATTGGTGTTGAATTCAACTATCAATTCGAACATCACTGCACATAATTCATCAATATTGAATCATGTCAACAGTCCTTCGATAGTATTTAAATTCATATCAGTCAGCTGCAATGTAGAACTCGGTACCAATGTACATCAGTTCAAGTTGTCAAACCACAATAGCACAGACAGACAATTGTCAATTCAAATCCCATAGTAGTAAAGGTAATAGAAGCAACAGTAGTAATCGGAAAGATTAGGGTTTGAAGATGTTATTCGAAGAGAAGAGGAAGATGAAGGTCATGAGGAATTTAGAATTCAAGAACACAAAGAGTAGATCCACCTGTGCCATTGCAAACGATTTTAAGCCATGTCATTCAAGGTTTCTAACCATCGGTTACTACCGTCTCGCTGACCCCCACCTGGTAGTCTACACCTACATTCGTATTTATATAGTTTTCCAATGTTACCTGTTATTGAGCATAAATTCGAAAAAATAGAATGAAACAGAGTGAATTGATTTGTTTAGTATTTTTCTATAAATAAATGGTAGTATATCTTGCTGTTTCTGTGGATAGTGTATCGAAGTTGTTAGGTGTTAAAATATCATCCCGTATCTACTTTTCTTCCTATCCAAGCTAACCATAACAGTGTAGTTATTAACCATTGAATCAGTTTTCATCAAAATGACTGAATCTGGATTTTGTGAAACATAAATCTAACTAGAAATAGCCTATTCGCTTTATCAAGCGGAAACTGGATAATATACTCTTCACAGTAAAGTAGCTCGATGCAGTTCATGAAAACAAATCTTTAGACGTGTTATAATTACTACATCTGATCAAACTTTTGTAATGAATTTACTGTCTTCATCGTTTGAATGGATAGGCCTGATTTTAGAAGTTAGAATCCTATGAAAAACCATCCAGCAAAGCTTTTGAATCATAGTCATCAAAAGAAACTCCACAAGTGATTTCAACGATATTTATGTAGCAAAAATTATCACATTCAGCTGTCCAATCACTAAGACTATATACGTTCGCGTTAAAGTGAAGTTATTCGAAATTGCGGAAGTATAAAGGACTGGTCCATTAAAGCTGTAAGTCTTCACAAATTGAAGAACACAATTACTGCAGCAACATGATAACTTGCAATTCTTAATTATAAATGTATTAATTTCCTTGTTTTAAGCCTCTTCTTAGATGGCTGTCAGACACGTCTCTGATAGAACAATTTTCAAACGTTTGTAAAGAATTGTGTGCCTTTCAAAGTTCTAAAATTCATAGCTTTTAGATTAGATGATTATTGGTGACGTAATATTTGGATTATAAAAATTTGAAATTAACATTGTTAGATGAATCTGCTTGTTCTTAACATAACTATGTGTGACCTTGTTAATTGATGATCCTAGTGTGTTATTTTTATTTAGTAATTAAACCTAAAAGGTTTTTAAGAAACCTTCGGGTCGTCAGTAGTATTTTTGTACAAACCCGTACCAGCTATCTACTCTCATGTTCGTTTTTGTTTGCAGATCATTAACGGGGGACGATGTGATGTACGATACAGATTCTAAAGACGTATTCAGTCAAGAAGATGTTGAGAAATGTTTGTACGACCGTTCCACTAAAAACCGGTGTTCTCTCTCTATACGAATGATAGATAGGCCTGACTTTCATTTGGCTATGTCAGGCAACACATGGTCTGTGATTCGAGAGCACTATCCTTGGTTAATACCTAAAGTAAGCTTTTTTAGGACTACTTATCATCAGACTTTACTGTCATTTGTGATCCACTTTTCAGGGTCTAGTTTTAATTTTTCGCAGGTAACCGTAGATCTCATGTTAACAACTGCTCCAAATAATTTATAATTATTAATATCTACTAGTCATCTGAGTATATGTGGTTACGGAATGACTATTCATTCGTCATTTAGGTATCGACTAGTGATATTCCACATTAACAACGAGACAAATAGCTCTTTGACCTATCGGTTTTATTAATTTAAATTTCTTTAGTCATTCTTCCGGTCACAATGACTGAAGCTTAGGACATTAAATTAGATGGGGATTGTTTGCTCAAACTGAGATTATATTTATTTTCACAACTGATATATCAAAATATCAGTATATCTGTTTATTTTTAGTTGGTTGTAAAGGGCACAGTATTTGCTCGTTTCTCGCCAGAACAAAAAGCTCAAGTGATTGAAGCTCTTCAGTCAGTTGGTTACTATGTTTCTATGTGTGGAGATGGTGCAAATGATTGTGGAGCTCTGAAAGCTGGTCATGTTGGGATTTCTTTAAGTGAAGCAGAAGCAAGTATTGCCAGTCCTTTTACATCAAAGAAACAGAATATAAGCTGTGTTCCCATGCTTATAAGAGAGGGTCGTTGTGCTCTCGTAACAAGCTTTGGAATGTTCAAATTTATGGCTGGTTATTCTCTCATTCAATCATTTTCCGTAATGTTACTTTATATAGTAAGTTCCTTTGCAATTAAAATAGTATATTTCTACCCATCCGTACTATTACTTCAGAGTTTAGAAAATCCTTTAATGAATCAAAATGTGTCGAGGTACAACTTTTAATTTTATTTTGTCTCTGTCGATGTTTTATTTTTGTTTCAGGTCGGTAGCAATTTTTCCCAATGGCAATACCTACACTGTGATTTTGTCATAATAACAACATTAGGTTTAACATGTGAGTTGTTATCTATCAGACGCAGTTTAGCGTAGAACTTCATTTCTATTTTACTTTTTACATCAGATATTTTGAATGGACTTGGTAACTCCGTTGAATTCTCTTTGACTCAAGTGATTGAATCGGTGTTAAACAGATCTTTCCATTAAAAATCACTTCGTTTTACTAAAGACATCACTTTTATCGTCATAAGGGCAATAAATTTTCTATAAAATCCAATAGTCTGATGAGATATGATGAAATCGTTTCGTTACAACTCACGATCTTAATTTAAAGGATGGGAAGGCTGATTCTTTCTAAAAAGTTTCCGGAATAACTGACGTAACTTAACTTATCAGTAATCTTAATTTAAAAGATCCTATAAAACAAGACAGCTTTAATTTTAAGTTATCATAGTAAGGCACTGAGGCTATTATTTACTTTCAAAATATTCAAGATCCTTTATCTAAGCGGAAAATCAAGATCATTTGTTTTTCATCAAAATCATAGATAGAAAAATGTTAGACCACCATTAGAAACCTGAAAGTACTGGACGGCCGCTTCGTCCTAGTCTGTAACTCATCCACAACCCTGCATGCTCATGATCACCTGATCCCTAGACCATCGAGACGCCATCCAACACTGTTGATGCCGTGAATCAAGCCATGATAATGCGCGGCATCATCTATCGTCTTCGATTGGTAAGTACATCACACCAGACACGACTGAACTTCATTGATCATCACTCTCAGACATCAACCCTAATAAAGTTCGCCCGGAAGTAAATGTTGTTAAGAACTAAAGGATTAAAAATCACCAATCTGTTTCGGATCATTATAATAGTTTTCAGTGAATATATTGAATCTGGATTTATAGCATCAAATGAAGAATAGTCTCGTATTTCCTTAAATGAGTAATCTGAGTGGGCGGTAGAACTAATAACTCCATCATATGGAATTGTGGCTTCATAGACTATCTGAAACCAGTTCTTATAGTGACGAAACTCAGCTTTTAAAAATAAGCGGCTAATTTAACATACACGTTTACATACTTAAATAGGTTACTCCTCGTGAGGTGCAATGGGACGATGGGAGATTTTCTTTGATTGGCTATCTGTTCCAGTTGTCGCCAAGTTGTGATCATGCTCTTGATCTCTGCTGCCAACTACCAGCACCGTGGTTTCTTCGGTGTGTCTTTTTCTTCAGTAGTATAAATTTAGAAGTAAAGCCTGCCTTGTGATGCAGTTTGTTGATTTCCACAATATTTGTTTAATCCATACTCATCATATGTCAATAAAAATTTTCCCCCGTTAGGGTAGATTATTAGTGATGGTCTTTGACTGATAGATCTGGATTATCTTGTATAGGCAGTTGTTTATATGTTCCTGTGCGTTGTTCGTGATGACATTGATGATTCTGGCATTTTCGGCTGTTTAAAGATTGTTATTAAAAATTTTAAAATTCCCATTCTGCGACAGTTGTTTTGAGTTGTAAATTTTCTTCAGTTGCAGGAACGCTGACCCTGATTTGCTTATCCCTATGTCCAAATCTGTATCAAGTCTAAACTGCTTGTCAATGGTACTGCTCAGATACATGAAGCCTTTTACATCTTTCAGAGCTTCTCTAACAAGTGTGATTTAGTTGTTACTCTCTGATTCATACTTCAGGATTTCGGTTTCTCCATGTGAATGTTGAGTCCTATTTTTTTCAAAATGTTCATCGTGATTTTTCTTACATCAGTAGGTCCACAAAATCCAGTAAACAGATGGCAAGAAGATTAAAGGTGAAAGTAGATAGCATATCCTAATATCATGCTACACTTAGAATGTACCTTTCAGCTAACTTCAATAAACAAGTTCATTGTGGAGTTCCGTTTAGAGAACTGATCATAACTTTCTTCTTTCGAATACTGGATAGAGGGAATATGAGGAAAGCTAGAAAATTTTTACAAGCTTGGCACTCAGGCCACTCTTGCGTTGATCAAATTAATCAACCAATCAGAATAATCAAAGATAAGCATAAGATCAGAAATCAAACCAAAGGGGAATACAATCAAAATAAAAAGGCAGACAATGACAGGTTAAATTTCAGCCAAACCAACCAAGATCGAGGTCAACAAGACAAGCTAAGAGTCATACTTGTAGAAATTCGAATACTTCACCTCCACCTAAAGTTTGTTGTCATGATGTTGTGCAGAAGAACAATGAAGGCTCCATAAGCAAACCATCCAGCTAAGAAAACAAAACTTCACCATAATGATTCATCTGAGCTACAAATTTTCCACACCATCTCAAAACGCAAGACTTTGGAAGTCAGTCCGTCGTAGTAGCTTCGTATGTTAGTGACGTCTTATTCAAGTACCTCATAATACTAAAGACAATTCCGTTTGGTGTTCGTGATCATGCTGTCAAACCCCCTTTCGTAACTAGATTAATTGGTATGTAGCGATCAGGCCCACTTAGTTAATTGTTGAACAATAATACTCATCGTCAGAATTCGTTAGGTAAGGGCAGTCTGCAGTTGGACGTTGAGTGATTTTCTTATTTGGTTCGGTAACAGTGTTAAAATCCTTGTCTGGTATAGAATATGGTGTGATCTGCCTGTAGTTCTTGCACTTATTAGGATATCCTTTCTTCGTTATTTTGAAAACTTTTCCCTTTTTCTAGTCTGCTGTTACTTGTTCTTCTTCCCAAACCTTTAGGAACAAAATGTGAAATGCCTTTACACTCATCACTATGTCTGTCTTCAGTGATTCAGCTGGTAGCATTTCTGGTTTACCTGTTTGCTGTTCTTGATCTGTCTGATGGTTTTATAATTTATGTTTGTTTAGTGGTTAATACCAATACGGAGGTTTACGTGTGTTGTTTTGATGTTCAATGGGCTTACCTGAGTGACCTATGAAACATACCTTTAAAGTTCTCTATTCGCCGGTTTCGTTACATTTTATCCTCAATGATTGAATTCTCTTTCTTGTCTATGATATTTCCTCTCTAGCTTCTTCGCTGTATACATATGGTACTTTTATAAATCCTCTTGAAGCTTGTTCTGCTGCAGTCTCCAAAACTTCCGCATATCTTTGTTTTTCAGCCTTGATGCTGTTCTTCGCTCGTTTGTTTGCTTCCACATATTCAGTCTATGTCTCGGCATTTTCTGCCGTTGCTTAGCTGTTTTTGAATACCGTTTTGCCAATTTTTTTAATATTGCCTGGGTTCGCTGCACAGATCCATCAGTTTTTCTGAAACTTGTCAGGGATCAACACCTCCTAGCATGTTGAAATTAATAATTTTTTAATCCGTTAACGGTTGCATCATTTGTAGTTTTCTTTCTTAAATCTTGTAAGACTGAAATATTTGCTAACAACTGATCGGGTTTGGTACTAACACACTTGAGGGTTGTGTTAAGTTTTTGTACTGCTGCTTGATGAAATTTCCAAGCTTCTTTGGCTTCTGTTCTAGCTTGGTTATCATCAGACAGAATCAGAATCTATGCTTGTTGTCTCACTGTTCGTGAGTCCTCAATGAACTTTTACATTTTTTATCGTTGCGTACGTAACCTATTAGGATTTCTGTAGTGTGGTCCAGTTAAACTCATAAAGCTGTTTATATATGCATTTGTGGGATAAATTCATGCGGCCTATGAGTATATTTTTGAAAGAAGACAGGCCCTTCTGTCACCATTGTCGTTCCTTGCTTCCTGGTCCATATAGCCTTATGCTGAGTTTGTATTCGGTTTTAATCAGTTGTAACCTTGTAGTCTCGGTTTCCGTCTTGATGATTGACTGTTATCGAAGGCATGCTCTTTAACTTCTTCCCTCCTATCTTCTGTAGGTGTAGCAGTAGATGGCGCTTACGTCAAGCCCTTTGTTTTCTCAATGATTACCCTGGCGATTCTTGAACCAGGATATTCCCATTTTACAAGTACTCCCTTCTTATTTTAGAAATCTTCAATTCAGCTTCTTATGTGTGAGTAAAGATCACATTCCTCGTGATGAGAATAAGGTAAGGGCTCTCTCGATGTTAGTCTTTTTTGTCCGCTTTATGTCTAAACAGTTCCACTTGTACCAAACATAGCCAGGTGATATCTTCGTACTTCCGCTACTATTTAACTAATGTTCTCAGTGCTTTTATCGTACAAATATTCTGGTTATGTGATAGCTTCCAAAATAACTTGGCTTTCATTATGAGCCGTAGTAACTCGTCTATTTTAAATTAACAACTTGTCTAATATGAAATATTGCACGAGCCGATATTAAGTCTATTGGATACAACGTTTTGGCTAGAAATTATTGTTTCATTTCTAGAGACTGCCTAAGATTACCATCGGTTTTAATCTCGGATGTGCGAAGACAGTTGGGTTGCACATTCAGCTAAACGAAAAAAAATCATCTAACTAATTTAAACTTTGTTCTGGAAGTTGAATTAAGTGACAAAACTGCAGAAATAACTTTGTATCAACTGTACAATCAACCCAACGGTTGATTGATTGATTAATTAAAAGAAATTTCATTTATACAATTTGCACCATGAGTTATTAGTCTAAAACCTTATTAGAAATAAATAAAAAAATTTCTACTTAATATTTAGCAAAAAACAAATTTATCGTTATCCTTCTTATATTATTAAAATTAATCTAAACAATGAGTCTTCTATTTTGTTTCTATTTAACTATAAATAATCTTCACTAGTTGGATATACTCATGCATATCCATATCTCTCAGCTGAACCGCCTACAATGAGACTATTGAGTACGGTGACAATGATTTCATTATTTGGTCAAGTAATCATTGACTTTATTATTCAAACAACTGCATTCATATTGATTCGTTTTCAATCATGGTAAGTACTGTTGTTGAATTTTCCTTTTAACTAGAATTTTTTTGTAAATCTTTAATTTATCACTTCTATTCGTTGTTTGTAGTCTGATGTTTTCTGAAATTTTTTTTTCTATTTTTATACTGCCAGACAAAAACAACAATGTAAATACTAATTCATAATGTTAATATTGTATTACCAGTTTACTAGACTCTTTAATGAGAAATATTTTTGTATATTCATTGTCAATCTAAACTCCCCCTATAGTCCCTTCGAGGCTGCTGCCAGTCCCAAGCCCGAATAAAGGAGGAGGGGTTGGGCATGGTGTTGGCGACCCCATCCTAACTAAAACTAATTTGCCAAAAAAACGCTAACCAGAAAAAATAATTCAAACCATTTTAACTCTGCCCTGGGAGTTGGAAGAACAATTATGACGTCGCGTGATGAAAGCAGAGTTCATTCGGAAGTCACGAGGCCGATGCCTCTTCTGACAACCAGAGCAACCATTCTTCTAGGTACATCGAACGTTCGTACATTGTGAGAGACTGGGAGACTATTTCAAGTTGCGGCAGAAATGAAAAGATACAACCTCGAGGTGCTCGGCATCAGTGAAACACACTATCAACGGGTAGGACAACTGAGACTAGCTTCAGGGGAACTGCTGTTATACTCTGGTCATGAACAGGAAAATGCTTCTCATACACAAGGAGTTGCATTGATGCTGTCCAAACAAGCACAAAAGACACTGATAGGATGGGAATCTCATGGACCCAGGATCACTAAGGCATCCTTCAAAACAAAGAAACAGGACATTACAATGAACGTCATCCAATGTTATGCACCTACCAATGACTACAATGACGACGTTAAGGATCAATTCTACGAAAGGCTGCAATCAATCGTCGAGAAATGTTCATCAAAGGATTTGACGATTCTTAAGGGAGACCTAAATGCGAAGGTTGGCATGGACAACACTGGATATGAAGACATCATGGGACGACATGGACTGGGAGAAAGGAATGAAAACGGTGAGAGATTTGCAAACCTATGTGCCTTCAACAAACTGGTCATCGGTGGCACAATATTCACGCACAAACGCATACACAAAGCTACATGGATATCACCGGATCACACTACTCAAAACCAAATTGATCATATCTGTATCAACAAAACGTTCAGAAGGACTATGGAGGATGTGAGAATCAAGAGAGGAGGTGACATGCCTTCAGATCACCACTTGCTGATCGCCAAAATGAAACTGAAACTAAAGAAGCACTGGACAACGGGGCAGATAATATCACAGAAGTTTAATACCATAAAACTCAACGAATTCAAGAGAGCCCTCACCAATAGGTTCCAGGCCTTGCACGATATACTCAATGGAGAGGATGCAACATTGGAGAACAACTGGAAAGGGATCAAGGAGGCAATCACTTCAACATGTCACGAAGTTCTGGGTCACGAGAAGTACCATCACAAGGAATGGATATCTGTTGATACTCTTGCAAAAATTGAAGAAAGGAGGAACAACAGGGTAGCAGTCAATGTCAGCCGAACAAGAGCAGAGAAACTTACCACACAAGCTGCATACACAGAAGCAAACAGGGAAGTGAAGAAGAGCATCAGAGCTGACAAACGAAAATATGTGGAAGATCTAGCAATGACGGCGGAAAAGGCTGCAAGAGACGGAAACTCGAGACAATTGTACGAAACAACAAGGAAGCTCGTTGGAAACTATCGTAAACCAGAACGACCAGTGAAAAGCAAGGAAGGCAAAGTAATCAGAAACACTGAACAACAGCGAAATAGGTGGGTAGAGCACTTTCAGGAACTATTGAATCGACTAGCTCTGCTGAACACACCCAACATCGAAGCAGCATCCACGGACCTCCCGATTGATGTTGGGGCACCTACAGTTGAAGAGATCAGTATGGCCATCAGACAAATCAAGTGCGGCAAAGCAGCAGGACCAGACGACATTCCAGAACAGGCAATCAAACCAGACGTAGAAGCAACTGCAAATATATTTCACATTCGCTTCAACAAGATTTGGGATGAGGAACAAGTACCATCAGATCGGAAAGAAGGATACCTGATTAAAATACCAAAGAAAGGCGATCTCAGCAAGTGTGAGCACTACACAGACATCACTCTTCTCTCAATACCAAGCAATGTCTTCAACACGGTATTGTTAAACAGAATGAAGGACTTCGTAGACGCCCAACTTCGAGATCAACAGGCCGGATTTCGTAAGGGTCAACCGTGTACTGACCAAATCGCAACATTACGAATCATTGTGGAACAATCAATAGAATGGAACTCACCACTCTACATCAACTTTATCGACTACGAGAAAGCATTCGATAGCGTGGACAGGAAAACACTGTGGAATCTTCTTCGACACTACGGTGTGCCTGAGAAGATAGTTAACATCATACGGAATTCTTATGATGGATTCAACTGCAAAATCGTGCACGGAGGACAGCTCACGGACTCGTACGTGGTGAAGACCAGTGTCAAGCAAGGTTGCTTACTCTCATCTTTTCTCCTTCTCCTGGTTATCGACTGGATTATGAAGACGTCGACATCTGGAGGGAGCCACGGCATCAAATGAACAGCAGATGTGAGGGCGCGGACCGGCAAAGCAAGGGGTGCATTTCTACAGTTGAAAAATATCTGGAACTCAAAACAACTTTCAACCAAAACCAAAATCAGGATTTTCAATACAAATGTCAAGACAGTTCTGCTGTATGGTGAGGAAACATGGAGAACTACCAAAGCCATCATCCATAAGATACAAGTGTTTATTAACAGTTGTCTTCACAAAATACTTCGGATTCGTTGGCCAGACACTATCAGCAACAACGTACTGTGGGAGAGAACAAACCAGATTCCAGTGGGTGAGGAAATCAGGAAGAATCGGTGGAAGTGGATAGGACACACATTACGAAAAGCACCTAACTGCATCAAAAGACAAGCCCTCACTTGGAACCCTCAGGGCTAAAGGAAAAGAGGAAGGCCAAGGAACAAATTACGCCGAGAAATACAGAAAGGCATGAGAGGAATGAACAAACATTGGAAAGAACTGGAGAAGGAAGTCCAGGACAGAGTTGGTTGGAGAAGACTGGTGGGCGGCCAATGCTCCATTGGAGGTAACAGACGAAAGTAAGTAAGTAAGTATTGTCAATCTAACTAATATTGAAGAACTAAATAACAATTCAAGTTAGATTTTTTTTTAAATTTCGAAACATTTGTAAGAAGATGCCGAACGGCTACATATGTGTAAATGTTGAATGAGATACCGCATATTTATCTTTAGTATTGTCTGGCAGTCGTCAAAGGAGTTTATAAAACGTGAAAAATTCTCGTTTTTTGAAAACAATTTTCTGACTAGACAACATTGTTCAAATTATTAGCAAACATAGAATTCAGCCAACAAATTGAAGCAAAACAAATGTTTCATATATCGGCTTAACGTCTAATTAAAATTGTATTATACGTATGTTTCCCCTGTGTGATTTTTTTTCATCCTATATAAAGTGTGATGTGTAATCCAAATGAGGAAAATGTTTTTACTACAATTAATGATCCATTTCTCTTTTACATATTTAAAATCTAATACACTAAATATTACACTTTTTTCCAATTTGTTTGTACCACTACAAAAATTTATCATTCTCTTATCATTCTCTCAAAAGGTATATGCCGTTGTATTTGTACTCCAATATATCCGACTACGAAACCTATGAAAGTACAGCTGTATTTATAGTTTCGGCTTATCAATATATAATTTTGGCTATTGCATTTTCAAAAGGAGCACCATATCGTAAATCAATCTTAACTAATTGTAAGTTAATAATTACATGATTACATGATTATTCACTAGTGTCTTGGATAATCAAGTATTGAAAACTTGTTAATTTGCCGAGTGTATCAATGTTGTAATGAAATTTTGAACTGAAAGACTTCTACCAATTTATTCAACATACATTCATCCTTTGGTAATAACTCTATTCAATACATTCTTTTGTTGTTCTTCTGTTGGGGACGTTAGATCCCCTGAACTCACTTAAAAAGTGTCCTAATTTTGTAATTCTATTTCGAGATTTCGAATTTTATATTTTCGCGCCAAAGACGCTAATTTTGACCTTCAGCTTGCATTTCTCACTCGGCAATCCTTGACTATTTTGTGGCTCTCCTAGGAGCGTTTCTATCATTGTATAAATAAGCTTGAGTTATGTGCTTGTTGACCTCGTCCTCTCTGGTTGACTGTGGAATACGTTTCTCTTCGTCTTATCAAGAGTTCTTCATCCAGTTATTAGGGCCTGGGATGATCGGATAAGAGTAGCCTATCCTGTCGCTGAATCAGTGATCTTCGTTCCGTTTACCGATTACGGTGAACTCGTAATAGCTCAAGCATTTCATCTTCATTTGAATCCTCGAATAAGTGCACAATTTTCTAGTTTTTATCTTAAATTTAATTTTGTTTGAATTAGAACTTCGTAGTTTTTCTTCGTTATTCTAAATTTTATTCATTGAATTACATCTGTAACGCATATAAGTGATTTGAATGAAATATGTACTTGACTTTTATGTCAAAAATCCGCAATCACTATTTAATAAATACTAACTGACTGCTCTTTAACAATCTGGGTGTAATTTCAACTGGGAGTTAAATTTCAAATAAACATTCACTGACTATTTCACAAAAAGATTTATGATAAAGTAATCTTTCGTCACTATTTTTTTATAATTTTTCCAATAGATGCATTTGTGCTGAATATTTTGGTGTGTTTTGCGTTCACTCTTTACTTGACCACTAATCCAGCTGATTGGATAGTTAAACTTTTAGAAGTAAGTATATCGCAGATTTTGATCACCTGTTGCAGCCTACACGCATAATCTGCTGAATGGATTAAATGTTAATTGCTTAAACCGCTCGATGACTCATTCACTTTCCTATCATATGTACTCCTTGAGTTATGGCGATGCTTTCTCTTGCTGCTATTAGCTTACATATATTTCCAAATTCGCTTCCTGTCCTTGTGGCTTTGTGATCTACGTGTGGGATAATAAACTGTGGTCCATGGTTAATACTATATCCCTAGACTCATACAACGTTGGTACTTACTTACGTCTGTTACCTACAATGGAACATAGGCTGCCGACCAGAATTATCCAACCTGTTTTGTCCTGAGGTTCCTTCTCTATTTCTGTCCAATTTTTATTCACTCTTCTCATATCCATCTCCATTTGTCGGCGTAATGTGTGTCTTGGCCCTTCTCTTTTCCTCTGACTTTGAAGGTTCCAAGTATGGGCATGCCTTGTGACACAGTTAGGTGATTTCCTCACTGTGTCCTATCCACTTCCGGTGCTGCATCCTGATTTCTTCCTCCGCTAGAACATAGTATTTTTCTCCCACAGTAGGTTGTTGCTGATCGCGTCTGACCAACGGATGCGAATTATTTCGCGCAGGCAACCGTTAATAAACTCTTGTAATCTCTGGATGATGAATTCGGTAGTTTATCAAGTTTCCATCTCACACAATAGAACTGTCTTGACATTTGTATTGAAGACTCTGATTTTGGTATTTGTTGACAGTTATTTCGGGTTCCAGATGTTGTTCAGTCGTATAAGTGCTTCCTTCGCTTTTTCGATCCTCACATTCACATCTGCATCAGATCCACTTTGCTCGTCAATGATGCTGCCCAGATATGTAAAGGTTTAAACGTCCTCCAAAGCGTCCACATCGAGGGTGATTTGTTTGATGCATGTTGTGTTGTATTGGAGAATCCTGCTCTTCCCCTTATGTATGTTGAGATCTGCTGCTGCTACTGAGGTTGTCGATACACTGGCCGTCTTCTCAAACATTTGTTGTCGCGTGTGCGATAGAAGAGCCAAATCATGTGCGAAATCCAGATCGTCCAGCTGCGTCCTGGCTATCCGTTGTACCTCGTCCATCCCTCCAGATGTTAACATCTCCATAATCCAGTCGATCACTAGGAGAAACAGTGAGGATGAAAGTAAGCAACATTGCTTGATACCGGTCTTCACTACGTACGAGTCTGTGAGCTGTCTTCCGTGCACGATTTTTTAGTTTGATCTATCATAAGAATTGCACATTATGTTGACTGTCTTCTCAGGCTTGCCATAATGTTTTCCTGTCCACGCTATCGAATGCTTTCTCGTGGTCAATGATGTTGATGTATGGTGGTGAATTCCAATCAACTGATTGTTCCACAATGATTCTTAACGTCACAATATATCGGTACTCGGTTAGTGCAGTTTACAGCATTTTGTAAGGAGTAATGTGTTTTTATTAGTTTGTGCGTAGATTACGCGTAGATATCTTGGTGAGAACCACTTCATATTTAACATCATATATTGAGTGTGATGTTACCTAATTTTTTTTCATGTATATTTTATTGATTAGTAAGTATCGTAAGTTTTAGTGGTTTGATTAATAACTTTGTAGTAAATCATTTCACCTACGTATTCAAGTAATGCTTATAAGCAAAAACAAGGTTCTCATATTTAAAACCTTTTCCAATAATGTATCGTAACATTTTAATATATGCATAGTATACTTTATTCAATGTGCAATATATACATTTTTGTTTTATATAATTTAACTCATTAATTATTTCTCCAAAAATAATTAGCAATTTTCGAAAAAATGTTAATTTCTTGAGCAAACTGAAAGGAATGTTCATTTACGAGTAATGTAATGACTCAATCCGTGCACTTAATGAAGGTAAAATTTAACTCATCAATTTAAACTATACAAATCGGTGGTGCACAATTATATCTGTGACTGACAACTTTCAGCTAGATTTTCACATCACACTCGCGGTATTAAACAGTTACTAATAACAAATACTATGCATCTTCAGAAGACGAACGATAACCTCATAATTCATAAAACAAACAAATAATACTGCGCAGTGAAAATTGCTTGTTATTCTGTAGGGAAAGGATTATAACTGATGTACATTTAATTTAGGTCAAAGTGTATTATTGCTAAACAAGTAGTTTAATTTATAAACTATCTGATTGTTTGTTATTCTTAATATGGACCTTTCATAGTGCTATCATATTGCGTAGCTTTGATATCAAGAAATGACAATTTGAAATAGATTACCTAATTACGCGCAGTTCCATTTTGTGCAAAACCATGTGCTAATGATGTAAAGAACCATGAGGACCTCATAATTTGTTTGAAAATTTAATAGTATTTGTCTGAAGCTTAGAAAACAACTTTGATACATCATAGTATTTTTAGATACCTTACTCTCATCAATAAGTGAGCGTCAGAGAAACACAAAATCTCAACGAATTTCATATAATAAACATAGATGGTCTTGAATTTTGAATAGGCTGAAATGGTTATGATCATGTTTTGAGTTCAAAAACTGAATACAGTTTACATGAACTCCTTGACTTTACATATTATTCTTATGTCTCAGTGCACATCGATACTTGTATATGAACAAGTGGATCAAAGGTATCTACACTTAATAATTGATAAACTATACATTATAAAAAGCATGCTTTTATCACATGATATCTAAATTACATTTTTTTGGCTTACAATAAAAAACACCAGTTTGCTTCATTTATTCATAACAGATTTGCATCAAGTTTGTGTGCACGAAGTACATTTAATAAATTTAAACGAAACGAAATTGAATTAAAAATCCAGGTTTCGTTGTGATACCTTACACCATGCATCCCAATTAATGACTAACAATAGATGAAATGGACTTATATAAAACTTTATATTCACGTCATAGCTTTCATATTAACATTCAAAAATTAGGTTGTTTTGTGTTGGTTTTAAATTCTAGACGAAGTATTTCAAGTGATGCAGTAATTTTATGGTATGTACTTATAAAAAATGTAGACAGGTTTTTGTATGTAAGTTTATATCAAGTGATGTGACGCGCTGGATTATGTGTGATAATAAAAAGTTCATTCCGCATACATTAAATTTAGATGAGAGCCTTGATTAACTCATTCAACAAACTGTCATTCAAACAGTAACAATTTGTCTCTATCTTACTATTAATTGAATAATCGTTAATATTATTATTATGTTTGCATTCGCATACATTTGTTACAGCCTACTCGCATAATCTGCTGAATGGATTAAATGTTAATTGCTTAAACCGCTCTATGACTCATTCACTTTCCTATCATATGTACTCCTTGAGTTATGGCGATGCTTTCTCTTGCTGCTATTAGCTTACATATATTTCCAAATTTGCTTCCTGTCCTTGTGGCTTTGTGATCTACGTGTGGGATAATAAACTGTGGTCCATGGTTAATACTATATCCCTAGACTCATACAACGTTGGTACTTACTTACGTCTGTTACCTCCAATGGAACATAGGCTGCCGACCAGAATTATCCAACCTGTTTTGTCCTGAGGTTCCTTCTCTATTTCTGTCCAATTTTTATTCACTCTTCTCATATCCATCTCCATTTGTCGGCGTAATGTGTGTCTTGGCCCTCCTCTTTTCCTCTGACTTTGAAGGTTCCAAGTATGGGCATGCCTTGTGACACAGTTAGGTGATTTCCTCAATGTGTCCTATCCACTTCCGGTGCTGCATCCTGATTTCTTCCTCCGCTAGAACATAGTATTTTTCTCCCACAGTAGGTTGTTGCTGATTGCGTCTGACCAACGGATGCGAATTATTTTGCGCAGGCAACCGTTAATAAACTCTTGTAATCTCTGGATGATGAATTCGGTAGTTTATCAAGTTTCCATCTCACACAATAGAACTGTCTTGACATTTGTATTGAAAACTCTGATTTTGCTGTTGTTCGGCAGTTCATATCGTTGTATTTTATCATTACATAATTGTTTTTCCTTATAAATTTCGATATTTATACAGAACCAGTATTCATTCACTAATAAAATGTATCGTTTATTGTAAACATAGCTGTATTTTTGTTGCTTGCCTAAATTTTTCGCTCGTACTTATTTTTAAGACAGAATATCATTCTAGGTTGGTACATATTGTTTGAGTCAGCTCTGCTTTTATGTAATCATTAAACAGTATTTATTAGTAAAAACTAAAACATTCTCATCTTATTAGACTATCATACTTCAGATGTCCATCTACCTGACCGATAGCTAACATTTTCACTAGTATTTCTACTCAAAAATCATAACTCTTTACAATGGATCACCTTCATGTTCAACACTCATTTACTGTTGTAATTTTTCTCTATACAGAACCTATCTATTTAGCATATATAAGATGTTTCTCAAACATCAACCTATTCGAAAAGGTGAATATTGTGTTATGCTATCCTGGATGAAATTTCAATGTATTTTTTATATTTTTATTTTATCAACAAAAATATGCAATTCATCGATGACAATGAAAGTAAACTATTCTATCAATAAATTGGTAGAGAATTTGATTTAGCATAATCCTAATACCGATAATTATTGAACAAAACATGTTCTTTAGCAAACATATCTCATTTATATTAGTTTAGCATCTTAGTTTTAAAAATTTTAATGTGTTTCTTTGTTGGAACTTTGACTATATTACTTCATGAGGAAAATTACCATTTGTTTGATTCGATTAAGCCTGATCATTCCGATTGGTTTGTGTTTAAAAATAATAATGTTTGTTACATTGAGAAAATTACTTGAAAAAAATTCTACAATAATCAAAAATAATGTAATTTATTTGTTTAAAAGTGTCATTTGATTTTGTCAAAAAGTATAACAATGTTGAAAAAGTTTGAAGCAATTCAAAATTAATTTTTTTATTATGAATATGAATAAAAATACATGTATGTCTGACTCAGAAATTCTGAATAATTCTCACACTGTACAAAATATTTTCTGTTCAAATGATTTAAGGCACAAACTACACTATAACATCATAAATGTAAAACTTCACTATTTATATGTCATCTTTAACCTTCGATAAATCGGCCTTTTTTTCAAAACTTACGTAACAATTCGTTTTGAACTACTAGTGTGTGTCCAGTATCAGAAGATTCTATCCAAGTATTATGAAGTTCATTTAACTATTCTTATCTCTATTAATGTTTATACAATAAGTTTTCTAGTGAATTTTATTAGTATATAGGTTTTGAACAGTTTAATTTGTTTAAAATCAGATTCTTTTATAGGAATAACCATCATATTTTCGTAACGATTGATATTATACTCATAGTTCGATGATCAATAGTATTTCTATAATTATTCTATACGCTAAAATGATTTATTCCTTGCAAAATTTAATGACAATTATTACACAAAGAAATTATTATAGTCATTTATTATACTTTTGCTTAAAAAAAATCAAAATGGTTGTATATAATGAAATTGTTTTTGTGAATTATAGTTAGTCCGAATTCCTTCCATTTGGTTCATATGCATATTACACTTCATGGTTTTGGCGAATTTCATGGCCAGTTATATTGTTGAGTCAGTTGTTGATGGAGTCGCTTTTCGTCGCCGTATAAGTCGCATTCGTCAATCATTATTTCCAAGGTGGGTCACCTGATATATTTTGCTTTATAGTTAATGTTTATAACTTTCGTTCCAAAGATTAGATGATAAGTTCGCTAAGAAGAAGTGAAATGTACTTCATACTTGTTAACTTATTCTTATTTTGTAAAAATATTCTGGCGTTCTTCATATCATTGTGTCTGAAAGAGTGATAAATAACAAAAAAAGCTTCGTTTTACATTCATCTACCTGAAAATCTATTTCCAGTACCTGATGCTTCCTTCCATTACTGACAAGTGGATACTGAGATAAAACACTTTTTTCCATTGTGATTAACAAGAGAAAATTTTAATTTCGAATCGAATATGCTGTTACGTTTTGTGACCGCTGACTAGAATTCCCGTGCCAAAATAGTGATCATAATCCTAATTAAAATTCGATTGATCTCAAGGCTATTATTACTGTATCGCTTAGCTTCTTCGACTTAGTCTATTACACATCCAACCAGATGTACTGACTCTCAGTCAGCAGATGATTTCCTGATGGTCCACAATTCGTTTTATTCTCTCTCTGCTCTGCGTTTGAGTCCGACAGTCAACAACTAGCCTTTAAGATGCAAGTGTCTCAACAAACGTCGTTAATGTGCAGACATACCATACCGCATAATACCATAAAATTAAAAATGATAATTATGCAAGAACAGGTAAAACATGGCTGTGATAAATGGAAACTGTAAATTGTAGATTGACAATGTAATCAGCACTGTAAACACTAACTGAATTATAAGAGTCTAATGGATATGTTAAGCATTTTTGTAGGAATAAAAAAAATTTAATCAAGCATATACGTACTGAAAAAGTCTTGAAAGAAGGTCAGACATTAAATTAGTTGTCACTTTGTCAACAAAACTGAACTATATCTATTTCGTCATCCAATTCTCGTTGAGAAGTCGCACATGTGAATGAAAAGACTCTCCTTTAAAGTGTTTTTTACTTCATTTTAAACTGCTGATGAATTTCGATCATGTAAATATACTGTGAAGTATTGACTAGGTCGCCTGTTAGACGTTCAATTCCATGACTGAGAACGAACAGTAGACTTCGAGATAGTGGAGGGAATTTGTAGCACTCGTGGAGTTTCATTTTTTCAGCTGTCAAGCTTAAACAATTAAGCTCCACCACTAACTGTAGACTGCTTCGAAAGGTTTTATTTTGGAAAACGTATTTCAAATGTTAAAGTATGGGAAATCAATAACACTGAGGCAATGTGGTCTACCGAAAGTGCTTAAAAATGACATGCTCCCTCAGGTCAGTCGGTCAGATGCAACGTAGAACATCGTACGTAAGTACATCAGTTCATGCCGCCATACCACATCAGCACAGAAGTGTAATTGTCAATTCAAATCGGATAGTAAAAGAGTTAGTAAGGGTATTAGAAGTAATCGGAGAGGTTAGGGTGAGAAGATATTATTCAAGGAGTATGATTAAATGAGAAAAGTTTAGAGAGTCAAAACTAGAGGTGTTGAAGAACCCAGAAGATTAGCATTTGAGAGAACACAAAGAATAAATGCACCGGCGCCATTGCGAACGATTTTGAGCCATGTCATTCATGGCCTCTAACCATTGATTATCTACCCCAACCAGGTAGTCGACAATTACCGACATGGCTTAGTCCACTCGTCAATGACTTCATGGATTTGTGCCATCTTTTGGTTTGGCCACCCCTAACTTTCTTCCAACCTATTCCTACACTACAAAACAAAGCTCGACGAGGCATCCGGTGGTTGGGCATACGCAAAACATGTCCCAACCACCTCAAATGATGAAGTTTCACAACTTCATCTATTGATCTGCCATTCTTACCTAGCACCCGATTCCTAATAACAGCGCTGCTCACTCGGGTGTCCCACGATATACGAGCAATGCTTCAAAGACACCTATGATCGAAAACCAGTAACCTACGAATATCTTCTACTCTCACTGGCCATGATTCACAGCCATAAAGTAAGACGGAGCGAACTACTGCACAGTACACTCGTCCTTTGTTCAGCAAACGGATATCTCGTCTACGCCATGAGTGACGCAGGTTGGCAAAAGTCAATCGAGCCTTCTGTATCTGAGCTGAGATTTCGTCAGTCACCCGGCCATCGGCACTGATGAGACTCCCAAGATAAGTGAAGCGGTCTACACGTTCGACTACTTCACTCCCTATCACTAGTTCAGGTGCCGATGAAACCCAATCTTGAAGTAACATTTTGCATTTCGACGGGGTAGAATCGCATCCCGAATATGCTTGCGTTGTTGCCTAAGGTAGCCAGAAGACTCTGCATTTTGTCAGCGTCTTGACCAAGTAGGACTATGTCATCGGCATATGCTAAGTCAATAAGCGAGCCACCTGGTAGAAGGTCTACTCCTGAAAATTCAGAGGAGGATGATGTTATGTCTAGGAGCATGTCTATGATAAAATTGAACAAGAATGGAGAAAGTGGACATCCCTGACGGACACCACTTGATGTAGAGAATTCCGGTGACAGTTCGCCATAAGCCCTAACTCGACCAGTGGTGTTCGAGTAAAGGGCTTGTATAAGGTTAATGTACTTCTTTGGTACACCTTTCAATGAGAGACACTCCCACAGAATCTCACGATCCACTGAGTCAAATGCCGCCTTAAGGTCCAGGAAAACAACTATTGTAGGACGCCTAAATGTGTGTCTGTGTTCCAGGACCTATCGCAGTGTGAAGATGTGGTCAATGCAGCCACGTCCATGTCTGAAACCAGCCTGGTTTTCTCTAGTCTGTTCTGCACGAGCTTTCGTTAAGCGTCGAAGTATTATTGAGGCCAATATTTTAGATACTATATTAGTTAGACTTATTCCCCTGTGATTGTCACAAGAAGACTTTTTTCCTTTCTTATAGATTGGGACAATCAGTGATTGAGACCAGTCGGATGGGATTACGTCCAGTTCCCAGATTCTACCTAAGATTTCAGTCAACCTAGTTGCTAAAACTGGACCACCATCCTTAAATATCTCAGGGGTCAGTCTATCAGGACCTGAAGCTCGTCCTCGCTTCAGATTTCCTAACGCTTTCTCAACGTCATTAAGACTAGGGGGACTTACGTCGATTTGCCATTCAGGGTGACTGGTGATCGTGGGTAACCGAAGAGTGGCTCGAGGCCAGTTGAACTGATCCCTAAAGTGTTCTGCCCATCGATCCAGTCTCCTGGATTGAGAATAAATAATAGTCCCGTCATTTTCTGAGATAGTCTCACTTACACTAGGATTCCTAATACCAGTTTCCTTGATAAGTCGGAAAAGTTGTCCACTGTTGCCTATCGCCGCTGCCTTTTCCATCGCTTTTGCTTTCGCCACCCACCACTGTTCGCGGTCGTTACGTAGGCTTTTTATAAGTCTGCGCCTAAGCTGACTTCGTTCTTCATCATGTTCAAAGCCAGGTGGGATGCGTTTTCGGGCATTGATCAGATCGGTGGATGCTACTGAGATCCACGGCTTCATTCTAGCCTTATGGTCAACCTTACTAGCAGATATCACTGCTGTTTCCACAGCCTTTTTGATATCATTCCAACCTGCTTCCGGATGGGAATCGCTTGCATGGTCGCCTAACTGTCTTCCTAGTTATTCCTGAAATTTATTTTTCACCTTATTATCATCAAGTAAAACCCTAAGAGGCTTTCTTACGGTGTCTTTCCTACGCCCAGTAAGCTTCAAACAAATGCGCGCTCGCACTAGGGCATGATCTGAATCTAAACATGTGCCCCAGAACGAGCGACAGTCTTCTATCGAACCACTCCATCGGTGGCTGATGGCAATGTGATCTAGTTGAGTCCAATGTTGAGACGACTTTCGAGGTCGCCAGGTCAAAAGATGCTTTTCCTTATGCCTAAAGTTAGTGCTTGCTAAGAATAGGCGGTTATCTGAGCATACTTGCAACAGACGGTCACCATTGTCTGTTCTCTGAGCCGCGACACCATAACATCCACCTAGGTGTCTTTCATTTTCACTTAGTTTACCTACTTGAGCATTAAAGTCACCAGCCATTATTACTATATCAGAGCGCCTAGCTTTTTGGAGGAGGTCCGAAAGCTTTCTGTAAAACTCATCTTTCACCTCGTCTGAACTGCAGTCAGTGGGGGCATAGGCAGATACGATGAAGAGGCAACGGCGATTGTCCCTATCTTTCCGAGTCCTTACTGTCCCATTTAGTCGGACAGTGCACAATCGACTATCTATTGGGATCCAGTCAAGGAGAGATTGTTCAGCTCTACAAGTTAATGCTATGTTTACCCCAGCAAGACCCCTGGGAGCAGCATCAGGGATACCGGATACACGAAGAGTAAATCGAGCTGCTTCTTTATTTTGACAAGGTGAAATCAGATTACTAAGTTTACTAGGATCCTGTATACGCGTTTCCGAGACACAACATACATCGATTGAGCGAGATTCTACAGTTCTAGCTAATGATGCTTGTTGCCCTATTCGACACAATGTCCGTACAATAAATGCTCCAACATCTAGTCTAGAACGAGGTTTCAAGAGACCAGGAATAACGTTTCATGAACTCGCATAGTTTGCATTTGCGGTGCAGTCAGATAAGGGAATGTGAGTAGAGTAAGTTGTGGAGAGAAGAGAGGTATGTGTGGGTGTAGGAAGGATTTGATTTCGACCAAATCGGTCTCTCCTGCTGTTACGGGTATGAGGGCGGTTGTCACTTCCTGGCTGCCCACACCGTGGAAGTTTATTTCTTGAGGGACCTGAAAAGGAAGATAGATTAGTGTTGGTCTTAGAGACCTGGGTGCGTGACCGCAGAGCCCAAGGGACAACTGCTTGAGGCCGGTCACGCACGGCCTTTTTATGAAACGTTTTTTGAGGATTAGCTCCGTTCTTAAAGGCCCTTAGTGGGCACCCTTACCCAAGGAGACGGAAATACGTGAGGTAGTGTGAGGTGTGACATTTTTAGGGCCAACCTTTTCTAACCCTTTCTTCCTTGTGAGAAGGCAGCATCGTTGCAGATGCTGGTTGTCCAAGGGAAACACCTTACTGCTGTCACACCCCTCTGCAGTCAGCAGTACGACTTCGCCCTCAGACCTTGAGTAGCTGCTTTTAGTCTCATCGTTCTCCAATCGACCAGCCTGGCATGGTAGGACCTGCAGGAACATATGTTCCAGCCAGTATAGCTCGGTTGGGTCATCACGATAGGCGAGCCCGACCACCACGTCAAGGTAGCAGCTACGGTCGGGCCATAACATATTCTCCTCTATTTAAATACATGTAGACAGCTGTGGACGCACATTCGACTGAAAAGATGTTGAAATCTTCGATAGAGAGAATACTTATCATATATATGTGTTGAAAAATAGTTAACGTTTTAGATAATTTTTGTATAATTTCACTCATAATGTATAATCATTTTGAAGTGTCCAAACAATTTATTCGATATTACTTTTGTGGTTTGATCAAGACGTGTGGAACGTAAAGCTTATGAGCGAATTCGGGAAGAAATTGACAGGTCAGCTGGTGTTTGGCCTCCCCTTTTAAGATCTGCCAGTCTACAAGAATTACCACGTGATCTGTTCGCAGATGACAATATAGACATTCCTACTCGTCGTAGCAGTAGACGGCACTCTTCTGCCATATCCTATGACACGGATGTAGAGGCCGCTTCTGTTCAAAGTGAAATAACTGACAAACGACAAATTCCTTTCAGCAGTACAGACGGTGATATTGGTTTGCCTAAGATTGTCGGTAAATCCTTTTCTAATCGATTGAGTTTAAATGAAAATCGAAATCCGAGTTTTGATCTTCATGGGTCTTTAAAGAAACGCAATCTTTCATTGGTAAGGAATCCCTTTGATAAATACTTCATAACAATTTTTGTGTTGATATGTTATGGTACATGATATAGTTTCTACTACATGAATAGGGTATTCACTGTTTTGAGAAAACACTTGGCCAATCAGAAGTTTGTCTGATTTTAAAAGAAGCATTGCATAGTTTAACCACTGAACTTATTTGATACATAATTTTTTCTGGACGATTGATCAATAGTGACAGGGAAGATAGCCAACTACCTTGATAAATTACTATTGTGTTGTCCATTGCTCTAAAACGAAAATTTATTTGCTGAAGAAAATTTTCATAATTTAGTTAGAGAAGGTTTTGTCTTAATCTGATAATGAACACGTTTTATGTGTGTATGAATAAGCATTTTGTCATTGGTTGTTGTAATTTCATCATGTGTTTGTTCAGAATATAGATCTTGATAACACTGGAACTCTATCTTAAGTATTAAAAGTTTTGAAATTTGAAAATGAAATCTGAATATTCCTGTTTGTTTGTCTGATTAAACTTTTCAAACGGGTTTTATTCCTAATTAAATCATGCTAAAAAGAACTTTGAATATATCGAGATTATTTTGTTCACGGCTGACTTTCTGGTTGTTATTGTGGCTGTTGTTGAATTATTTTATGAAATTTCTAGACTCAATTTGCATTTTATGAGCTTTTCATTCACCAACAGTATGCAACACATCGTCAACACTGAATAATATGCAAACATTTATTGTGTAATTTGTCAATAACACACTATAGTTCTTACACGAATATTATTCTCTAATGGTGTAAAGTGAATACATATCAAAGGATTTACTGTAAACTACCGACAACTAATCTACGTCGAAATAGTGGAATGATTTCAGATCACTTGGACTGTTTGCATATCGCATATTGATGGTTTCAAATTACCTAGTGCCTAAATTTTACTTGGTATTTGGCAAATTTCCTTTAACAATTTTACATAAAAGACGCTAATCGATTCTATCTAGCAACCACATTTTGTAAGCAAATGTTTACCGACAATCTGTGGATGATTTATTCGAATACATCAAGTTCATATTGATCCGAAAATTCCATCATATCGTTTTCCAATAAACTAAATTGTTGGTAAATGGAATGAATACTTTTCTGTGTCATTGTTTTGGAAGATTTTTTACTTAAATGCATGTATGTGTGTTAGTTAGTGTTATCCTATTTAAACTAGCCAAAATTGACAGTACCATATCTCTAACCTGAATTAAACAGGCCGCTGTAGTTTCCAAAGAATTATAATAATAATAATTGTTCAGGTATAATGATTTTGATCATGTTGGGTAACACAATGTCAAAATAAAATTGCTGATTTATCTGTCTTCTACTTATATTAAGGGTTCATTGCATCACACAACTGATGAACCTGAGGTATTTGACCATCGATCAGTGTCACGTACATCTCCCGTTATGGATTCTCCCAATATGAAAAGCGTCAGTTCACATTTGAAAAATGAGGAGGATAAGGAAAATCATGATAAAGGAGACTGTCGTTGAATTATGTAGTTGCTTGATGACAGAAGTTGAAGTGCTTCCCTGCTTTCTTCTGCCTGTAACATGTTATTTTTCTACAAAGCTAACATAATTGTTGATGATGCATATTGAAATGCCAAGATCGTGTACTTTTCATATTAAATTCGATGTTATATTTAATTTTTTAAATACCCGAACAACTTTAACTCTGCAATTCTATACATATTTTGATTTATTTGCCTTATTTAAATGCCGAAATGTTTACTTCGATGCTATTTTTCGAGAATCCCAAAAAGTCTTGGCATAAAGCGTAGTTTGCCAATAAAATATGTTATACATTTTATTTGATAAAATAATAATGATATTTACTATTTACAAAATTTAAAATTATTATTTACTATCTATAAATGTTAACTTAATCTAAATTACTATTTGTGTTACAACAAATATTTTGTAGAATAATAAAGGCTCTGACATAAAATAGACAATTTATTTGTGTTTATGACAAATTATTCCAATCATTATTCACTCTTTGACTGTAAAGTGATTCAATACAACTCGCTGGTATACCAGATTATTAAAAGCGTGATAATTTTGTTGTTGCTTTTGATTTCATTAAAGTATGAGAATCTGCTTCATTATAAGGTGTTCTGTACTATTTAATTCTATGCACAAAGAAAATGCCAGGGTTATTATAGCCGGTCCCAAGTCTGGATAAAGTGAAGGAGTTAGACATACGATTAAGAACCTCATCCCGTAGGTTGTTTATTCGATAAATCGGTGTTACTTATGAGCCTGAATTGAGTTCATTGTAAACGAAAAGTTTATTTTAGAACTGAGTCATACATATATTTCTCATTCAGTTCTGTGCTTTCGACACACTAATTCTCATTTGATAAATTTAGAAAATCACAAAGAAATATAAATATTACAAGGACTGACGAAGCTGAAGAGTAGCATGCACTGAGGTATCCAAATAAGTGCGAAAAATACTTATGAATCAAGGATCATGAAAACATCCCTCAAAACAAAAAAGGAAGGGATGGAAATGAATATCGACCAGTGGTTGTGACGATTAGGATCACTTTTGTGAGTCTGAAGTCGATCGTAGAGAAATACCCTGACCTGGCTATCTTGATGGGAGAGCTAGACATCAAATTTAGAGTGGACAACATCAGATATGAAAACATCATAGGACGACATGGACGGGCCTAGAAGAGCGGAAATGGTAAGAGGTTCAAAAATCTATAAGACTCCAAACAGAATGGCTATAGGCGGCATCATGTTCCCACACAAACGCATACACGAAGATACATGAGCTTCACCTGATAACACTACGGAGAACCGAAACCGATAAAATTCAGACCAATAGTGTTCAGAAAGTTCATGAAAGATAACAAAAGGGAGAGCCAATATAGCTTCAGATCAGCATCTGGTGATGGCCAAGAAGGACTTTAAAACTGGAGAAAACATTACAAAAGTTTCGTTCCGCTTTCCTTAGGGATACTGACATACTTGACGACCTGAAGATAGCTCACAGAAAAAAGTTTCAAGCCTTACACAATCTACCAGAGGAAGAGGGAATTTCTATGAAGAAAAACTGGAAAGGGATAGGAGGGTCAATAACTTATATATCAGGAGGTGCTAAGCTGCAAAAAGCATCACTATAAGGAATGGATCGCTGTTGATACTCTGGATAAGATTCAACAAAGGAAGAACAAGAAGATAGCAATCAGTAATAGTCAAACAAGAACGCAGAATGCCAGGACACAGGCCAAATACACAGATTCAACGTCATCTTCGTTAATCTTAGCTAACATTCAGTGAACGAAACATTTTGATATTGAGTTTTGCATTTAATATTTAGTACTTGTCTTTAAAAATTAAATTTTTGAGGAAAACATACAATTGCCTTATGCATTCATATACTCGATTATATCAAACGCATTGGATAAACGTGAGTTGGCTGTCTATGATGCACCTTGAATAGTTTAACTACTAATATATTTGAATACAATGTTTTCATCAGTCTTCCAGGTTCGGTTTGGTTCTCAGTCAATAGCTTATATCTTGGTTCTTTTTACTTCAGTGAATGTGTCCATTGCTTACTTCGTTAAGCAGACATCTAGGCTTTTTTCATCTGACTATGAATTCCAAGTCATGCCTCATCACATGGAGTTAACTCACTTTCTTTCTCCACTTTGCTTTGCCCTGCTTTCACGCTTTGTATTCTCATGTCTGTCTACGTGAACGATTGCATGGAAAGAACTCATTCAATCGATTCCGCGTTTGGCATTTTTTTACTATCACCACCCAAATGGGGTTCGCGTAAGCAAGGTTTACGAAAATATGAGGGAAGTTTATTTCATAGTATGTTCACTCATTCGTCCCATTCTACTAAATATTTTTTGTTTCATCTCTTCGTAACTAATAATTTTTGATTTTTATGTTCAATAATTATAATGTGTGTGTGAAGTTGCAGGTTGGTGATTTATGATTTTTTTATGATCAGAATTCGATCATTCATAAAGTTTACATATTGATGCTGCTAACGTTCCAGGCTCTTCTTTTGAAAGGTTGATTTCTATAGTAGTCGTGATCTAAAATTTTGTACAAATTCATTTGTTTTCCGTTTACTTTGCGCTGGGTGGAGACATAATAATAAACCATTTACAGTTATTCATCGAAAACCAACATCATATTATAAAAGGGAAAATAGGCGAAAACTATATATTTTGCACATATGTTAATTAAAGTACAACAGAACCAAATAATAACACATGGAATATAAACTTGTTTATTCTATTAATTTCTGTACAAAAAGGCAATTTATCTAAGAGTATCTCAAAATATTATGTTCCACTAAAATGTTCTAGTTTTCGCAGTCGGAATCTTTATTATCCATCTAAGTAATCAGAAGTTTTACTTAAAATTGTAACAAAAACAGGAGTTATCCGGTCTCCTAATAACATGTTGTTCAAGTCCAAATACACATGTATACTCCATTATTCTTTTCATTTCATGGTGGATAGAGTATTTAAACCAGCAGTTGTTTAGCTAATAGTCCTCTGTAATAAAACTAATGTCGCCTTTGATATCTGTGACTGTAAAGTTGTTTGACATTGAAAGTTATTTGTTCAAATACGTTCCATTGCCTAGATTTCAACTAGTAGACTACTTTCAGCATCATTGTATGCTATGTGATTAGTTTCCTCTTTCACCTTATACTGTGTTACAAATCTACCAGTTACTAATAAGAGATAAAAGTTTTTAAACTTTTGAATCATAGGAACATTTAAGATAGACATAACCACATCACCGACAAATACACCGAATTACTTATAAAGTTTATAAAGCACAAAATATTAGACAACGGAAAATATTTGGAACATAAGAGCAGTTAATATATTATGAAAGGGAATAAGAGACAATATGGACCTGTGGACTGCAATCGGTGGGTGATAGTGATTAAAACCTAAGTCCGAAAGGCGTGTTTGTTGAATTCAGATTTTCGGGGCTAGTTGAATGTACAACTGTGTTGATATTAACGCTGGGACTCAAACCTATTGCCCATAACCGGCCATCTCTAAAAATATTAGTTAGAAATATTTTACGGAAATGAAGTTGGTCAGACGTTAACGCAAACATCAATTAGCATAGAGTAGATCATTGGTCCTTAAGTCATGTAATATAAGATTGAATTGATAAAAGTAAAAGAAGGTTCTCGAAAGTTCAGTACTACAATTTCGAGGCACTTTAGTGCGATCAAATTATATCATTTTCTGGAGGATTGATATGAGCTCCATTTTTTTCTAACTATAATTAACCTTTGCTCGTTTTTACGCATGATGAAACCATTGTACTACAAACCATATGAATAAATCAATCTTTATTTCTGAATTTTTTTACCCTAAAGTATAAATTAGAAAACAAAACGTCCTATTAAAATATGTCGTTATTCAATGCTCAAACATTTTGATACTGACTTCTGATATTCAGAGTACCTGAGTTATTCGAAAAACTCTGACTACGGTCTACATCGATTTATCATTATTTATGAAAGGTGGTTCATTTCTGAATATAGATGTAAACCAAAAATTGAACTACTTATCTTTCAAAAATATCAATACTTCTTTCGAAAGTATATTGGCGAAAATAAATAACTTGTGACCTGAAATATCTAAACTGTTGATTTACATTTTTATACTACTTTTAACTTGTTAGTAGTCGGTTTTTTTTACTTCTCACGGACTACACCTTATCAAAACGGGACGAAACCGGTCAAATGACGATATAGTTTCGGATGTAAATCTGGCGATCTCATAAATCTTTATAGTACTGATTTTCGCGCTCTGAAAATCGCAGTGGTTTCTGATTGTCAAGTGTGAGCATTAGGACTGTAAATCCAACAGAACCGATGCGTACTTTGACGTATGTGACACTTAGATAAAACAGAAGGGTACCTAAAATGTAATACAAACCCTACATAAATGTTTTATCCGTCTCTAATAACCCGACAAATACTAGGAGACTTCAGGTGGAAGATGAGATTTTAATAGGAGACTAATTCTGGAATGTCTACTTACGTTTTCAGGACATAAATTTCTTCAAAGTATAATATTCACGCCTCTGAATAGTTTGACTGTGTCGTTGTTATACATCGCAATCATTAAAATGGCCAGCTGAGTGATCTTACAGCTGTGCATCTTCTTGACTTAAGTTTCTCCTTCTTATGACGGGTCGATGAGTTCTAAGTTTCTAATTAGTTACAAAATGGTCGTTTCAGTTGGCATTATTAAATGTTATTTGGTGCTTAACAAATTTCAGTGTTTATAAAATATCCCAGTTATCAGTCTTTAAACTATCACAATTCTTGTCAGTATGTTAATTGACAGGCTGTATACTTCACAGTCCTGAACTGTTTTTTATCTTCTGAATTGCAGGTTCACCGTTAATGTCCTTTGAATACCCGATCGACTAATAAATGATGAACTTGAGTTAACCACCTTTTATTCATTTGTACGTCGATTGCGGTTAAAAACCCTTCAATTATACCCAGTTTTCCTTAGGTTAAATTGCTAAAACTATACTTGTACCTTGTCCATAAATTAATTTTGGTTAATAATATTGTGAATTGAATCGAAATTATTGACATTCTGACAATTTTCTGTGAAAGTCGCAGTATACTTTTTATTTTCTGCCTTTATTGAACGTCTAATACATCGAATATTATGAACCTGAAGGACTCTAGCATAACGTCTTACTAAGATCAATAAATGATATATTTTGAGTACGAACGGTGTATGACATTTGATTGCGATGGAGAATAAAAGAAATCTAAATTAAATTATTGTACAGCTAAAGGACTAAAATACGCAAACTAGTTATAAGATGATAGTAGAAGGACAATGACATTCCTAATATGTTCATCGATTAGATTCATATCGAAAACGAGTAAACACCGAATGTTGTTGGATAATGATCAGCAATATGATTTGTTCGAAAACTATATCAATAAAAGTTGGTTCATATAATCATCTAGTTATTGAGTGATGTGAACTGTAATCATTGAGGCAGTATGAGTCATAGTTAAAAAGTATAGTTAACTGATTCCTGTAATCATTCGATTACAAATCGTGGATATGGTCTTTGAATAGTGGACAATGGGTTTTGGAAGGAGGTGAAAATAAAGCGACGGAAATTACAAAAGAAAACCTGGGAAGAACTGTTAAGTTAGTTTGCCTAGATTTCATAGGTGCAATAGACTTTATACGTATAGTGCTCAAAATATAGGGCAAATACAGAATTCATCTTAAGGAAATTTTCATCAGCAAATGTTGAAAATGATTAGGCTAAGTTACTTAGGAAAGTGGCAATATTGAGTTACATTTGTGCACAATTTAAAAAACATGTTTGGGCACAACCCAGCAACTGACCGTATTCGAAATGAGAGGAAATTTATGTTTAAATCAAATATATCGAAAGTTCTTAGTCAGTTCTCAAATAAAATCTAAAAAAATGCACAATTTTTAGGAATTTAAGAGTGTCATCAAGGCTGCATGCAATGAATCTACTACGAATCCAACATACTGAAATTTTAATGGAAATGAAGTTTCCCCCCTCTATAATGGATCTTTATTTTAATGCCAACTGTAAAATTGAACATCGAAAATTCACTTGCATTTAAAGGGATTGTTAGTGGGATCCAAACGAAAGATAATGGAATAATAATGATTTTTGGTATTTTTCCTTAATTTCTAGTGTCTTGATGAGGAAATCGTTGGGTGTTATATGTAATTCCCTACAAACTAAAACTGATTCAAGGCTGCGTTACTGATTAGCTCCATTTGAGATTATTAAAATATTGTAATTGTTTATGTTCCACTCTGCTTACATCTCGACCAGATCTTTATAGGCAAATAGGAGGTACAGAGATAGGAACACTAATTTCACTAGTTATTGCTAACTAGGAAATAAGTGCAGTCTCGAAATGTGCTTTCCAACCTAATATCTGGTCACAGTGCGTACATCATACGAAACAACATGGATTTGAATAACGTTTTGGATATAATAATGACATATCAGAACAAATAAAGTTCATTACAGTTATCTAATCTATTGGCAGCCAACTAGAATTTCTTGATTATTTGTTTGGAAAAAACCATAAACCATGACAATACCTCATTTGCTGATGGCTGTTTTCAAGAATTCTTTACAGCTAAATGTTATGTAAACATGTGAGGAATGTCAGACACTTTGCACAAATAACTAAATCGCCTTATGCACTGGGCCTAAGATAAATTTTGATGCAGACTCCATCATTATTATTATATCTTATTGTTAGAGATACTGAGGATTATATTCAACTAATCACTGTTATCATACGTCATAAGATACTGAGTACAGCTCTAGATTATTTACGTCTTGTTTAGTGATGTGCGATGAAGTTCAGGTTGTGTTTTTCGTTGTATTGATAACTTATCTTATAACGTTTGAGTTTCAGCGATGTTTAGACTGAGATTCTTGAGACTATGCTGACTATTCCGTTGGGTACATTCAGCCAATAAGTGTGACATAAGACAAAATACACGTTCTGAACTCCATTACCATCTAGGACATGATAAACTGTATGAACTCACTTTTATTTCCCCAATGTCTGACACCTACGAATATGATTCTTAATTACGTGACAAAGTTTTGCCGAACAAATGATTGTTGAAGACATTGATTTAACAAGCGCATTATTGGTATCATTTATTAGATATATCGAATATATATGTGACCATGACAGGGATATATTGTTTCCGTCTAAACTTTTTAATGGACAGAGGAGTACTTGGACTAATATACAAAAAATCAAATATAAAAATACAGTGAAACTTGCATAAGCTATAAAAAGGTTGTCAGGGTGTTGTTATATTCGGATGAAGAATAAAATAAATAAATAAGCTTAGACAATTAATTACTGGACTATTGATGAGTAAAATCCAATTGTATAAATTGTATTAATCAACTAAACTATCAACTTTGTATATTTCATTCATCATAAGCTTTCTATTAAGTAACAAATTATTATCATACAATTTGCCATTTCTATTTTGTTGACAAGTTGTTATTTCACAATCTTCCTTACACAATCAACTTTAAATCATTCATACATAGTTGTCAGCTTTTATTTATTGATACGATCTAGTCTGATTTTGTGTGTGTACATAAAGGAATGTTTGAAATATAGTCACGAATCTTGGACTGTTGTTGATGATTGGTCTTCGTTCTGTGACTTTGGTTGGGTAGCTTTTCAAGTGCAGAGTAGCAAGTCTCTCGCTTTTATTACATACCGATTACTGAAAGGTGGTCAAAGCCATTACAAAACGTTTTCTGATTTTTAGTTTGGGATTCTGTCATGTATGTTCTTTGTCATTGCACTGAGAAGCTGTAAGTTCTTTTTCGCGAGGCTTTGTTTCAATAGCTACATAGATGAATAATAGTCCATATTAAACGATCTTCATACAGTTTTAAATCTCCGTCACGTACTAGCAAATCTACCTGAGAAACAACTTAAATTTCATCTAGTAAGTATCGTCCGGCTACCATAATTATAACTTTAACCTTGATCGTTCCAAATTGAATCTACAAATAAGAGAGGTGATAGTGGAGTGACTGATTTATCTCTATTTCAGCTGAATCCCAAGAGTGAATTCTTTCAAAACAAGGAGATGATGATGAACTTCAGAAAAGTAACATCCTGTCTCCCAATCGAATACAAGCGCTGTTAAATTATTTCTCCGCTTCGACCAGATCATTCTAGAGTTCTAAATATGTACACACGATTTATACAAATACTTATTCGGTCTTTGGCATTAAGCTTCGTACTCATTCTAAGGCTGGCTACGTTAAAAATTCTAAACTGTGTATATTAACTACTAGATTAGACTAGTAAACCACAATGGTTATTCTAACCGTAGACTCAGTGGAAATCAAAGAGTACTGACACCTATTCTTTTTCATATTGGGATTTATTAGGAATAGACACAAACGAGCTTACGTAGTAGTTAACCAACCACATTCAGATATTACAGCTAACATTATTGTCAGACTATGAAGTTGGAATTCAGTAGTCGGTATTTCAGGCTTCAGTCAATAGGTGATACACTTAGACTGCCTACTACTGCTGTCTGTATAAACAGTTTCTCGTTTCAGAATTGAAGGTCTTGGATTAAACTGGGTACAGAAATTGAGGGTACGCACTGGTAAAGAGTATCAAACTATCAAGAATCATTTATTTATATGATTTCTAATACACAATCTGAGATGAAATCTACCTTAACCAAACTTCAATAACCTAAAATATATTTTTATTTCATTTCTTATAACAAACAAACTAATACACAGCACCATAATTCGTCAGTTTATTTGTATAATTGTTATATATGTACTGTTCTAGTTTAAGCATTTTATCACCACCCTCCCTTGGACACGATAGGCTTTGTACTGAAAAATCAAACAAATCCTTAATACAAGGAGATTATAAATAAGGTTTTGTTATATCTTAAAAACATTATGACATCTGACTTTAAATTCGTAGTACATCAGTGCCAAATTAGTCTTCATTCGATGGTAAATAGGTTATATTATTCACTTGGTTTATATTATTTAACAATTCTAAATTTACCTTACTTACTTTTATTAATTAATTAGTTAATTTAATTTTTATTGATGAAAAATAATGAATACATTGTGACCTAATAGCACACTGAACACACACTGAATATTCGAGTTTTTAGAAATCGGTTATATAAACAATAGTGTACACCAATCATCTTATGTACTGCCCTTAATATTATTGTGATTATGCGTTACGCGATTCACCGATGCTTAAATAAGTGATATTTAGATGGTCTGATTAAAATTTCAATATATATATATATATATATATATATATATATATATATATAAATTTTTATATATATACACGTTTGTACTAAACTGGATAATAATTCTCAATTATTCTCTCCTATACAACATATAACATAGTTACTAAGTTATAAAATTAAAACAATCTCATTCGTTCTACGTGTTGGATAATCATTTATTTTTACTGCCAAATTAACAATTTATCTATCATCAATGAGTTCTTACATTTACCTCTCTATCTTTCTAATAAACATTATTTTAAATGGATTGGCCAGTAGTCTTCCTGAAGAATATGAAGCTCAGGTGAAAAACTATCCGGACATTATACAATCTAAAGAGAAATGTCTGCCTCAACAAGGTAATTATGACTTTGCGAGTACACTCGTTTGCGATCCGGATGGTTTGTTGACTGTTGCACAAAGTGAGTGAATATTTTATCATTTATTTATCTCCTTATGATCAATACTAGAGATGTTGGGAGTATGGAATGCAATATTTAGGTGCCGTTTATCAACAATAACAAATAACTATACAAAATTGTCTTATAAGTGCTAACTTCGAAAGTATGGAGGATACGTTGTGGCAAGTAGTGACGTTATTCTGTGATGCAAACATTCGAATTTAGAGAACGAATTGCTGAATAAATCTAAACCATCCTGTTAAGACAGTGTTAAGCAAATTATCTTAAATACAAAATTATTTGTTAACAACTACCTAAAAGTAGAACTGGAAATTTACTTATCAAGTATTTGTAACACTACCGGCTATTTACTTTGCGCTTGCTTATTACCGATATTCCATGTGAGTGTTACACACAGTTTTTGAAGTTAGTTTGAACAGAAATATTCTAAACTGGTTATCGTAATAAGTCAGCGTTTCGCTAAGGCCTAATGAATGTCACTTGTACCAAATAACCCGCTAAAAGGGTATGTATAAAAACTCAACACAATAGACAAACTTCAAACTGTGAACAATTATTCTGGCCTTGTTGCTAACAGCTTTATAATCATAATTTATTCACTCTTTCCTGTCTTTTTGGTTATCTGATTAATTTGAAACTTATATAGACGGCTTTCAAATATCTTATGTTTAAATTGTAACACAGTAGATTTTTTTCTTGTTTAATTCTGATGTATTTGAAAACTCTTCTTAAGTTTCTACCATCATATATATTCTTATTTTAAATATCAGAGACTCACGAATTATGGTGCGAGATGAATCACGATCAGCATAGATTACGACATTGGGTGTCATTTACTGAATATCTGCAAGTTGTATTATTGTTTTATGTGAAAATTCTGATAGCTTATTTTCATAGTTCTGTGTTACTAAATAGATACTATCATCCCGAATTTATTGCCAAAATTGATCATCTGAAAGATTTCCACTTGTACTAACTAACTTATGCGGTAACAATTTATTCTTATTGAACATTCAATATGAATTAAGTCACAACTATTTAAACTATGATATGATCATTAACAATCTATCAAGTGACGAAACTATAAAATCAAACTTTGGTAGTAATACTTATTTAGAATGCACGCTCTTATCTCTTAGTGAAAACATGAAATAATCCAAAGTAATTTTCTTTTAAAGTTAATTCAACAAAATTGCACACCAAATTGATTGCAACCAATGAGTTACTTTTAGCACGTAGCTGCTTTCTTTGACAGTTTACTAAGAAGCATAAATAAAAATTATCAAGATATATTTATAACTGTCAAAAATATTGTATGACGCTTAAAATGTAAAACTTTACGTTCTATGAATAAGTAAAACAATTTAATTACATTCAATTAAGAAGATATGCGAAAATCACGTAGAGTATTTGAAATGATAATCATCAGCTACTGTGTTAACTTTAAGGTTTTGCAACTGATAACTATGAACTCAGTAAAGTATATTTTGGGGAATAAATAACGAATATAGACTGTTTATATGTAAGTTCTAAAGTAAAATTGACGAATGTTCAGCACTTTTCTAAATGAAATAATTTAAGTATGTTGTAGGCGAATCTATACAAAAATGTGTAGATGACATGTGCCCAGTAATCAAAACTGGACATTATAACATGATAGACCACAAAGTGAATTTACTGTTGGAGCCACATTTTCGCATTTGATACCTTTTCTAATTTTTGAGCATGGAGTGGCTGTCGTAAAAATGAAGAAGGATAAATTCACTACTGCACTGTCTTCTGATCACAACTTTACATGATTTATGCTTTCGAAATTCCTATGTTACATAGTCCTACAAAACATTGATATTAACTAGCGTAACAAAAACAGAAGGTTGATTTATTATGGTTAAAATTTGTTCTTCACCAAGTTAGTTTCATAGATCAACCAGTTAAAATTCATAGGCTAAAAGAACTGTCTTTCAGATTATGTGGCTGCTTAGTTCACCTATTAAAGCTCTTCTAAGTAGTTTATGTAATATATGTAAAATGGATTATATTTGATAATGTGAAAGGATAGAGATGAGTGTGCGTGTTTGATAATATAATAATGTGAGATGTGAAAAGAATCAGATATGGTATCTTCGACAGACGGTGCAAATAGAATAGATAGTACGCAATTCTTTCTACTAGGGGCAGTAACATTTAGCGTCACATGGAAAGCTTCAGTTACTCGCCTTTAAGTTGGAAAAGTCCTTTTATATCATTTTGATGTTTGATATTGCAGAACTGGCTTTCACTGAGTCTTAAAACGTCAGAAAAGTTTGACTTTTCTAGTCATCGGGATACTACATATACATTATTTATATTATCAACTATTTACTCAATATTCAATTCATTTGAAATGATCAAGTTAAACCTTGGTAAGGTTATCTAATAAGCAGTTCTAAGAAAAAAACACTAACATGACCATTGCTTACTATTTATTCACTCAAAATTAATCTCACCCACATAAAGGAAAGTCAAAGGACAATATTACTTTTATCATGGTATTGGTCTGAAATACATAGTCTCTGATTGACTTGAGATCATAAGAAATTTTCATTGCGTCAATACAGTATGATACATTCGAAACAACATTATTTTCAATTGTTACGTAATGTTCATCATGAACTGACTTCTGCTTATGAGTCACGGAATGCTGAGATGCACTGAACAGCTATTTCGTCCTAATTCAACTAGTGATGAGTACATTATGTTGAGGAGTCTGAAACTACGACGAATAAGCGGTTGACTGCACCCTGACATTTATTGGTTTATAAGCTGAAGTTATGGCGTGACAAGAACCATCTCAAAATCTTATTAATCACGAAAATCGAACAACTAATAGGTCATTATTGTTTCCTATTAGATAAAAGTACATGTAAAAGAGTTAAAATAATCAGAGGGATTTATTAGTCAGTAATAACAAAATTAATAACGATGCAGGACGATGATTAAATCATCAGTATAAATGATAAATCGTACTCGTAACAACTGTAAATTGATACTTTAACCGTTCATATAACTTATCCTATTTAATAATGTAAGTGTTATGCATTAGTGCTTTATAAAAACTAAATTCCTCAAGTTCTTACTTCTTCCATAAATTCAGATTTTCATGCTGACTTCACTTATTTTTTTGTCAATTTTATTATTACCGTAACTAACGATGATAATAATAATAATAATAATAACTAGCTAATAGTAATAATAATAATAATACCACAACTAATTATATAATACACTTCAATATTACTTTTAACTTGCTAAATGCATTGATTGTTTATTGTTTTGTATGTTAGTGCATTGGTGTAATCGTATATTAGATAAAGATAGTGACGAGTTTGATAAGCTTTCTCGAAACCATGTATTATTTTGCAGAAATGAAATAATAACTAAATTTTTGTACCAAACACTCTATTGATTATTGATCTTAATGCCACAAGTATTTTGATTATTCAAACCATTCAGCATTAACTGATAGGAATAATGGATTGTAGGGGAAAAAGTAATAGTAAATGCACTAGTCTTTGGTTACAATCCCAGTGCAAAAGTACTAAGCAATAGACCGAAAGAGAACTTAGCACTGTATTTGTATGTAACTAGACAATGGAATTGCTAGTATGATTCTTTGCTGTTCATTTGCCTTCTTACGATACTAAGTTTGGCATAAGAATTGAAGTGAGTATAGATTTTGTGTTACAACGGTACAAAGATAATAATTTCTGAATTTTTAGTAAAGTAGACTTAATTAAAATTAATCGTATTACATGTAAAGTATCTTATGAAATTCGATTACTGCTCAAAACAGTAATGAAGATCAATCTGTTAGTTCACTGAAATAGTTCTCCATAAACCACTAGTTGTTCCAAGTAATATGCATGTTTATTAGCTAATGAAATGTAAAATTATAATGACATAACTTTATAAAATCTATTGTTTACATTAGATAAGTCAATACATGAATGCGTATCACTCGAATGTTTATTACTTAGTGACAGTAACATATTCGTACAAAGTTACTTAGCTCTAATTAATCGAATAGTAGAAGCTGTTTTTTTCAGTTATTTATATCCAACCGTCTACATATGAATAAGTATCAACAATAATAAATTACCTCATACATTTAAACCAATTATATCATGATAATAAGCTTTTCAAGGAAGAGGAGGTATAATTAACACACTGTTTTTTACATTTTATACGTTACCGTTTCGAGAATGGAAGAAATTTTTCAAATAATTCACAGAGCACTAAATGAATATAGAATCTGTCTCACTGACAGTAAGCTAAGACTGTATGCTTAGTTTTCTCAATTACTATAAACCGGAACGATTGTAAGATAAGCAGACATTATTGACAAAACTGTATCACAAATTGAAGATTAGTAGAGAAACACTGAGAATGGTTTACCAGTCACTTTATATGATCATTTGAAATTAATATTCGCAGCATTGACTTAAATTAGAGTTGAAGAAAGCTATTTAGCAATATCTTCCGGTCGACTTCATTCATAATCGATAACAGCGTCTGACCACCAGAACAAACTGACTTATTAACAAACAGGAAAGCTTAGTGAAAACTTATACTGTTTGATATACTTTCCAAAGCAACAATGCGATATTAATTATTCTCAACATCACTTGACACTGTAGTTACGTCGCCTTCAGATGGTATATGTGCTGATCATACATCAGTTATCAGTGACAATTCTATGGGGATAGGATTTCTAAGTATAAAGGTGCATATTGCGTCAATAATGCTGCCCTTTAAAATAATTCAACCTCTGATAGTACATTACGAATGCACCTTGATCTTTACGGTATTAACAACTTAGCGATTTCAAGTCAATACAAAAAGATAATTCAGAATTTCTTAAGTAATGAACTATCATTTCTTAAACTTTACTTCTTTTGCAATAACCTAATTAGGCCGGTCAATCAGTATGGGTTCTGACTTTTCAGAATTTATACTATATGTCTCCAGAAACCAGAATAGGTAAATTTTATCACTACGTTGCCGATAAAATTGATTCAATCCATTATGACTCTTATTAACCACACAATGAACTCCGGATCTTAACTATAAGCCGTAAATCCAATAAATTCATGCCGCTCATTCACAAACAAGTTGAGATAAAATAAAAGTTTGTAAACTTAAAAAAAATAATATCATCTGAAAATTCGATGCGCATTTTTATCAACAAAAGGACGTGGATAATGTTGATAGACTGTAAAATGTTTGCTTATGTTCGCCACTTGAATTCGCTGAAAAATAAGGTGATATATATATAACTAATAGGTAGACAAGTTTGTGGAACTAATTACGCTTTTCGAACATACTGTTTCAATGAACTGAACTACTATAAGT